TAAAATAATAGATGCATGCTGCTTAATGAAATGTGTGGGTTTTTTTGTTTAGCTGCTAGAAAGAAAGAAAGAAAGAAAGAAAGAAAGAAAGAAAGAAAGAAAGAGAGAAAGAGAGAAAGAGAGAAAGAGAAAGAGAAAAAAGAGAAAAGACCAAAGTGAGCACATTTGGTTTAAGTCCACTTAAATTTAAACAGCATATCTTATTTGAAGATAAGCATTAGTTTAAACTTATTAAGAAAATATTTTGTTACTTACAATATCTTCTATTATTTCTTTAACTGCTGCTACAACTAAAATAAATAAGAGAGGGACCAAAGTAGTATACCGTCCTGTTGGAGAAACATCTGGAATTTGCTAAAGAATAAGGAAAAAAAAAAGAATTTTAACGTTAATAGCATCAATTAATTATATGAAAATATATTCAATAAAAATGGGACATCAACAGAATCCATTTAAATGCTAATGAGGACAATTTCTCAAATAGGTAACTTAAAGTTTGAACAAAGGAGTGAAATGGGAAACCTTAGGATTCAATTATTCTTGCTTCTAACTTTCAATTATTTAAATATCCCTTTCTTCTTATCCCACCATCATTACTTTTAGACTTCTTTCTGATATGATATGTACAACTTGTATATACATATATATTATCCTAGTCATTCTTCATTCTTTATTTTATTGCTTTAATATATAAAAGAAAAAGAAAGGAAAGAAAGGAAAAGTACAAACAGAATGAAAACAGTAACAACAAAAACATTAAATTTTGACCACATAGAATAATTGTAGTGAGTATAAGAGGACGGCCTTGAAGGACAGAGGGAAGATTGGTTGCCAAGGCATTGATCAGATAAATGAGCGCTGAGCCCAGACCAGGAAAGTGGTTTACAAAAATGACTCAGACATCCCTCCTCTTCCCCAGTTCCCAGTGAAGGGAAGCACATTCTGACTTGCAAGGTTCTGTTATTATAGCTGTTTAATAAAAGTAGTTTTAGGTCTACCCGGTACATTTCTCAGTCTGGTCTACCTCATAGGGCTGAAATCAATCTTGCAAGTCTCAAGTTATTGTTGTCAAACCAATGTGATTTCATTTCTCTGAATGTTTGCTTTGCTGTGTGTACTCTACCACATCCATTCTATGATTAGTTTTGCTATAATATTTATAATTTTTATTTGCCATTTCAGAATTATCTCCTTTCCTTCTTGTTAAAATTGGTCAACTACCATTATAAAGCTTATTCAATATTGATGTGTATTGAGTATTGATTTTCCATGGAGGTCTATGATGTCCAGTAAACATGAAAAAGAATCTTTTGCTGAATTAGCATCCTCTTAATAAGAAACATACTTGATATTTTTTAAGTCTGTTAACCACTGAATTTTCAATATGGATATTCCAATACTTTATTCCAGAATACTTGCAAATAACTATTATCTACCCTAATTATACTTATTAACTGTTTATTAAAAACATGGCATATTTATAATCATCCCAAAAGACATTCCAATACTAATAGTAATTAGGGAGTTTTAGACAATCTGTGACCTCAAGAGAAGTTTAACTGAATAGACTGCCACTTTACCATTTCAGGTAATCAAATTCCTTTTATCATAACTCAAATGGTTTAAAAACGTGACTAGGAAGAAGCCTATATAAAGCATAGATACTGCTAACTTGCCCATGACTTTAAAAAAATTACCTGCAATTTTGAAACTGGGATTATGCCAGAATATAAATCTGTAATGTGAAAATGTGTTATACTTCATCCCATCATCCTCCAAGTGTGCCTTACAGCCTTTAATGCAGGAAATGGTACAGTACAGTGGGGCAAAAAAGTATTTAGTCAGCCACCAATTGTGCAAGTTCTCCCACTTAAAAAGACGAGAGAGGCCTGTAATTTTCATCATAGGTATACCTCAACT